CAACTCCTTTAACCCAAAGAAAACATGGAATTTTTTAATCACTAATAATACCATTGCAAACCAAATGTTGATCATATTTTCTAAATGACTGATACATTATACATAAAAGGTATTTGTATTTTATCAGACAGGCTCACAGACCACTTGCTATGTGCCAGGACCTAAGCACCTTACAAATACGAATTCAATTACTTTTACAATGCTAATGCAAATTTTGAAGAAGATAAATTATTTGGGATAATGAGAAAACCACAGAGTGAGCTGGTGACAGGGAAAATTAATCTATCAAGTCTATCAATAGCTAATAATACTCTACTTGTGTCTTCTAAACAGCCTTTAGGAAGTGCAAGAAAACATGGTCACGTCTCAGTATTTTTCTTTCAGTCTGTTCACTACTTCCCCTGATGGTAAGCAGTAGCAAATTTCTTTAATCCTTGTACTCTAACTCAAACGGAGGCGTTAGGTAAGAATGGACTCTGTCTTTTACTTAAACAGGCAACTCAGCTGACTTAAGTCTTAGTATTAGTGAGTGCCGTACTGGAACAGTTTTGGTCTTCACATAATTCATATATATTTATGATTGTTCTTGCTGGATAGACCTCTTTATCATCATATAGTAGCATTCTTTGTTTCTTTTTATAGTTTTAGTTTAACCTATTTTATCCAATATAAGAATAGCTACTCCAGCTCATTTTTGGTTTCCATTTGCATGGCTGATCTTTTTCCATCCCTTCACTATTAGTCTATGTGTGTCTTTACAGGTTAGGTAAGTCTCTTGAAGACAGCATATAGTTGGGTCTGTCTTTTTAATCCAATCAATCAGTCTGTGTCTTTTGAGCGGGGAGTTTAATCTATTTACATTTAGGGTTGTTATTGGAAGGTATTGTCTTACTCCTGGCATTTTATCAGTTTTTGTTTGGACATTCGAAATATCTTCTGTTCCTATCTCCCCCTTTTGTTTGTCTTGGATGTTTGTTAGTTTTTGAGACGGCAAGATTTACTTTCCTTCTCTTTCTCATTTGCATTTTTGTTTTACCTGTGGATTTTGTTCTTTCTTGTGTATTCGTGGTGGTGATTGTCATTTTTCAGATTCCAGACATAGGACTCCCTTGAGGATTACTCGCAGGGCTGGTTGTGTGGTGGTGAACTCCTANGTTTAATCTATTTACATTTAGGGTTGTTATTGGAAGGTATTGTCTTACTCCTGGCATTTTATCAGTTTTTGTTTGGACATTCGAAATATCTTCTGTTCCTATCTCCCCCTTTTGTTTGTCTTGGATGTTTGTTAGTTTTTGAGACGGCAAGATTTACTTTCCTTCTCTTTCTCATTTGCATTTTTGTTTTACCTGTGGATTTTGTTCTTTCTTGTGTATTCGTGGTGGTGATTATCATTTTTCAGATTCCAGACATAGGACTCCCTTGAGGATTACTCGCAGGGCTGGTTGTGTGGTGGTGAACTCCTGCAGTTTTGTCTAAGAAATACACTATTTCTCCCTCATTTCTGAAGGTTAGCCTTGCTGGGTATAATGATTTTGGCTGACAGGTTTTTTTTCTTTAAGTATTTTGAATTCATCGACCCATTTTCTTCTGGCCTATAGAGTTTCTGATGAAAAGTCTGCTGTTAGTCTAATATGGGCTCCCTTATAGGTGACTTGACGCATTTTTCTTGCTTCTTTTAATATTCTCTCTTTGTCTTTGAGCTTTGCCAATTTGACTATAATTTGTCTCAGAGGGGATTTTTGAGTTTCCTGGATCTGAAGGTCCATGTCTCTCCCTATACCTGGGAAATTTTCCATTATTATTTCATTGAATAGGTTTTCAGTGCCTTTTCCTTTCTCCCCCCTTCTAGAACACCCATGATTTGTATGTTTGTACTCTTAAGGTCTGCTAGCTCTCTTAGATTTTCTTCATTTTTTAAAATTATTTTTTCTCTTTTTTTTTTTTTTTTGTCCACCTGGGTTATTTTTAGAAGACCATCTTCGAGATCATAATGTTTTTCTTCTGCTTGCTCTGGCCTGCTGCTTACTCTGCTAGCTCTCTTAGATTTTCTTCATTTTTTAAAATTATTTTTTCTCTTTTTTTTTTTTTGTCCACCTGGGTTATTTTTAGAAGACCATCTTCGAGATCATAATGTTTTTCTTCTGCTTGCTCTGGCCTGCTGCTTACGTTCTTGGTTGTGTTTTCTATTTCATTGAATGAGTCCTTCAGACCCTGGCAGAATCCTTAAATTCTGCTACATTCTTTTTTAAGGTATTAAAAAGGTATTTTCTTTGTAAATTTTCTCTTTTGTATCCTGGATGCTTTTTCGCATTTCATTGTGTTGTCTAACTGAGTCTTCTTGTATTCATTGAGTTTCCCTAAGATTGTTGCTCAGAATTCCTTTCCAGCCATTTCAAGGGTTTTCTTCTCTACAGGGTCTGGTACTTGTGAATTACTGTTTTCTTTTGGTGGTGTCATATTTTCTTGTGTTTTGTTTGTTTGTTTGTTTTTCATATTTCTATTATCTCTATGTGGATACTAGAGCAGTTGTTTCTTCTATTATTCTGGAGTGGGCTTTGAGAAGAGAGACTTCCTCCTCTTTTTCTGGGCTCTGCTGGTGACTCTCCTTGTGTCAACACAGTCAAGTTGGTGGCAGGCTGCCTGTACAGTGGTCGTGGCTGCTACTGTGCTAGTAAGCCACCCTTATGGCAGCAGTGGCTGTTGTGGACCACCTGTGCAGAAGTTGTGTTTGCAGCATGCTCCTGCTTTCTGTCAGGTGGGACGCTGCCTGTGGCTCCTCCCCAGGTCCCTGGGTGTGCTCCTGTCTTCAGTCAGGCAGGGAATCTGCCCGAAATTCCTGTCTGCATCCCCGGGTGTGCTCCTGCTTTCCTTCTTGGTGTAATTAAGAGACCAGGGTAATTCCTGGCACATAGTCTATTCTCAACACTCACTAATCCAATCCATGAACCAGGTGTTTCCTAAGTAACTGGGTTATCTTTTCAGCAAAGTGATTTCTTGAAATTGGCAAACAGCTTTTCTGAAAATTAGATTTCTTTTTTTCTTCACTAAATTGTCAACTAGGTTAGCAAGAAAAAAGTCAAGAAATAAACTATGCTTCTATCTCTTCAACATATAAAATGAAAGTACTCTTAGATTTTTATTAAACTTTCCACATATTTTTTGAGAATAGTAGCACATGAACAATCTACTCTTACAAAATAAGAGACTAGATTGAGTCTCTGCTTTTCTGGGATATAAACAGCCATTGAAGGTATCAAGTAAGTTTTCATTTCTTTGTTCTGTAGTTTTCTTCTGAAGGAGAAATTTTCATGTTTTCTTAAATGAAAAATTATATATAAATAATTGCAAAAGTAATTAAATGACTTTTTTTGTCCAGCAGTATTTACTTATTTCTATTTCCCATTACTGTTTTATTTACCAAATCTGTTCAAATTTAATATCACTTATTACATTTATAGTTAAATAAATATTATGGAATGGATTGGTTTTCCATTGACAGTTTTCTTAAAAGCCTTTTGTTATTCAATTGAGGAAAATCAAATTGACAAAGAGCTTTGACCTCCAGTGATTCTGAACAGGAATTGTGGTAAGGAAAACATCAAAATTACAGGACCAGTACAAGTGTTGGGGCTAGAAGTTAATGGACAAAAGAAATCAACATAAAGACTTCTGGCTTACCATCCTATGCCTTGGGAAAGCACCAAACAAACCAAGTCCAGGATTGAAGTGTAAATCAATAAAAAAACAAAGATGGGATTCAATGCACAAACTGTATGATAGCACCTAAAACTGAAAAACGGAGGCAAATAAAAGGTGAAGAAAGAAGAAAGTATAAAAAGATGATAGTATATTCACTATTGATATATCCTCCGTGACTTGAAAGTTTCAGAAAAACCACAATGATACGGAATCCTTCAGGAATATGTTAATGTGTATAATAATTGAGTTTCTAGATAATTGAAAGATAAGCAAGTAGGGTAGATTCGAGTGTAAACTAAGAGTAAACAGGTTCTACATGAGGTCATTAAAGGATTTCCTGAGAATAAAAATCCATGTGCTTTTAGATTTTGTGAGTTATTTTATGACTTATTTTAGTCATTTTGTGACTTTGGTTTCTCAAATGCCCTATAGACTTAGTTACTGGCTATTTTCATTTTGTTTGGTGGGTACTTGTTCTGTGGTATGGAGAGATGCTATGGGGTTAGTTTTTGGATAGCAATGCTCCTTAGACCACCATTCTTTAATGTCAATTCAGAGATTGGACTTGTTAAACCATACTGAGAAAAATGACTCTGTTATAGTATATTAACTTCCACACCAGTGTAATGGTTAAGAATTGGCTCTAAAGCCAAATAATCTAGGTTCAAACCCTTGCTCCACCACTTACTAACTGTGCAATCTTGGGCAAGTGACTTAAACTCCCTGTCCTTCAGTTCTAAAATGGCATTAATAGTGGTTCCTACCACCTATGACTGCGTGAGAATTAAGTGAATTTTGCCACATGAAATAATTAAACACTGCTTGGCACAGTAAGTGTTCATAGTATGATTATTATTCATTTAAGAAATTTTATTATATAAATATTGGTATATAATGTTATGAAATTTGGTATCAAATAAATAATATAATAAAGAAAATCAGTAATAAACTATGTTCACTAAGGACATAGACCTAACCTGAAGGCTTAAGGAAAAAAAAAGACAAACTATAAATTATGTAAAATCCTTAGGTCCAGACAAGTGTTGCACACAAATGTTATAAATAACACTTTAATAGCACAAATGTTACATTAATGTCCTTTTACAATGCAGACAGCAACATTCTCAACATTTTATCTCTTAGTGATAAACATAAACCTACTATGGAATCTGGCAGCGGGAGATGATATACATACATATACATGTGTGTATATAAACATGCCTGTATATATATCCTGGAATTCATTTTACATCATTACTTCTTTGTTCATCCTATAGGTTATATCAAATCAAGTCTCTAAAATGGAAGAAGCCAAAAGCCTAAGCGTGGAGGAAGACTTTGAAGGACAGGCCACGCACACAGGTAAGTAAGGAAAAATAATTACTGAGCTAAAATTCAATCCAGAAATATCTAACGTTCTTATTGATACTATTTAGCAAGTAATTTAAATAATGCCTTCATGTTGTTTGATAGAATCATCTAAGAAATGTTTGAGTGGGTAAATTAGTTTGAAATCAAGTAAGTTTTTGGGGGGGATGGGGAGTGGCTGGCCAGTACAGGGATCTGAACCCTTGACCTTAGTGTTATAACACTGCTTTGATAGAATCATCTAAGAAATGTTTGAGTGGGTAAATTAGTTTGAAATCAAGTAAGTTTTTTGGGGGGATGGGGAGTGGCTGGCCAGTACAGGGATCTGAACCCTTGACCTTAGTGTTATAACACTGCTCTCTAACCACCTGACCTAACCAACCAGCCCTCAAGTAACTCTTAAAACAGTTTCATTTAGATGTCAAAGAGTACAAATAACACTACTCATTGATCATTTTTTGCTGCCAGCCATCACAAGACCTCTCTGTCTACACTATAATTGAGTTACTTTCCTCTCTCCTAATTCCTCCCTCCCCTCTATAGACTTCCACTATAAATAATGGTAAACCAAAAGGTAAATAATATAGTCTTTCATTTTAATTTTTTTGAATCTGAAAAAATAAAGGTAATCATAAACATTCTTAAATCAAATGAATTTCAATAGTCCTTCAGAAAACCTAAGACTTCATTTCATCCAGAGCCTATTTTCTTAATATGTTAAATTGCATGTGGCTATCTATATGCCACTACTAAGAGCTTAAAAGTTAAATATCATGTCTTAAATTTTAAAATTCAGGTTTTAGTCTATTGAATCTTATTTGACTAGTAATTTTCTCTCTCTTTTAAATTGGATTAAAACCTTCAAAGTTAGCCAGAAATTTGAATGAATTCACACTAGTACTAGACAAAATGTATGGAAATTCATTTTATAATGGCAATGTGAGGAATATCTTTCTAAATATGACACAAAACCAAGAAAAAAAAACCAGTAAGAGAAAAGATTGATAAATTTAGCTATAGGAAGGAAGGAAGACGGGGAGGGGGGAAGGGAGGAAGAAAATGTCTACTGTCTAATAAAAGTCACCAGGAGGAGAATCCAAAAAACATTTAACAAATTGGAGAAAAACATTTGCAACTCAATTGATAGACAAATGGCAAATTTCCTAATATATGTTAAGAGCTCCTACAAATCAATGGAACCAAATGGAACAATGGGCATCAGACAAATTATTCATGGGCAGGAAATGACACTTATAAAGTTAGAACTAGGGGCCGGCCCGGTGGCGCACTGCTGCAGTGCGCCGCTTGGGAGGGCGGTAGCGCTCCCGCTGAGGGTTCGGATCCCACATACAGACCGGTTCCCGCTCACTGGCTGAGCGAGGTGCGGGCGCGGCGCCAGGGGTTGCGATCCCGTTGCCCGTCCTGGTCCGGTGCGGGCGTGACACTGAGGGTTGGAATCCGTTGCTGGACACGAAAAAAGACAAAAAAGGAAAAAATAAATAAATAAATAAATAAATAAAT